GGACAGTTTCTTTGAAGAACCTGCAATTGAGATGAGCCCTGAGGGTTAAGAGGGAGTCAACCTGTCAGAAGCCTGGGCACAGCATTTGGGGTGGCAGAAATGAAAAGTACAATGGCCCAAAGTGAAAAAGAGCTTGGGTGTTAAAAGGATAGAGAAGAGGCCTGTGCGGCTGGAACTTATACCTCAGAGGAGCAGTGTGGGTGGGTTGGAGAGAGGGCAGGCCTTACTGGCCGTGGGCAGGAGTTGGGACTGTCTTCTTGCAGTGGGAAGACATGGGAGAGTTAAACCAGTGAGGTGACCCTGTCTGAGTGGCCCTCTTAAAAGACTGAGGGGTAATGCCTTTGGGGGGATGGGGGAGGAGCAGAATCAAGAGAGTTCTGTTTCAGACATTTTAAGTTTGAGATGTGATGGTAAGCCTGCCTTGGTTGTTGTATTTAATTAGTTGAACTCCAGCATTTAATCTCTTTGGTCTTCATCACAGTTAGGCCTACAGAAATTCTACAGATCTGTACCAGGCATAGGATTGAGTGAATTAGTCAAGTTAGGAGGAGGAAGAAGAGCTGTCTTATACTTTCTGTGCCCGAAGCTCTTTGTGCCAGCAATTAAACTATTGCCTCTCAGCTCCAAATCCATCCTATTCTCTGCTTTGCAATACTGGGATACGACTCTGCAGACCACATGTGCGCTTTGCCAGCAGGCTGACCTGTAAGGCTTTGCAAATCAGAGCAATAGAGGGAGCCTGGAAGACAGGAGGAGAGGATTGCTCTTTCCTGTCTGTTTCCCCTGGGCTTCTTACTTGCTTCCTGTTCATCTGAGCATCACCCCAGTCTAGCTTCAGTGGTTGATTCCAGGAGCAGTGGTTGAATCCAGATGACAGTTCTTCCAACATTTGCCAAACCTGCCTGTTCACCACTCCACCCAGAACACCAGCCCCAGCCCAGCAGCAAGCCCTCCTCAACGGTCAGAATGTTCAAATTCTTCAGGGCCCTTCCTCCAAACTTCTAATTCCAAGTTCTTCACTTCGTTTTCCCAGTCCTATGGATGGTAGCTGCTTCCTAATTGCTACCTCTGAAATACCTTTATGCTCTCCTTTTGACTTTTCAGTTAACAACTCTTTATTTTAATGATCTCTAATAAAATAATTGTGTTTTTGTTTCCTGGCTGTACTCTGATTGATACAACTAGGTATTACCTCCTGTAATCCTGGCTCAATTGACTAAGATAGAAAAGTGAGACCAATTTTGGTTCAATAGCCCATGTTACACAGCCACTAGGTGGTAGAGTTGGGGTTTGAATCCAGTTTGCTTTGCTTTGTTTCACCTGAAACTTAGGCTCTTAATCACTAGTCACCTTCCTGAATTGCCTGAAAAACACATGACAGTAGGTACAATTTTTAAATTCTTCCATCATTTTTGTTGCATCTTTCAAGCCTGTTATCACAGTCAGCATTTCCCAAAAGTATCCCAAACCTATAAGCTCTAAAACCTGTGAAGAATGGGTTCAGGGGAACTTAGGGTCGCCATAGCTGCACTTTCCGAAAGAGGCCCAGTGAACGTTAGCATAACAAAGGTTCTGAGGAATTTGGCAATAAAACTTAATATGTAACCAGGTAGTTTCTCCTACATTTTCTGACTGGGAACCTTTCAAGGATGTGACAAATGTAGAATTAATAAATAGTTCATCGTATGTATCCGGTGTAACAGTTGTACCTGGTCAGGAGAAAGCTATTGGTGCCAGCAATCGCTCTCCTCATCCAGAGGCTGCCTTGAAGGGTGTGGGGAGAGGGGAGTCTGATCTTTGTTTAGGTTATGGAAAGGTGACTGTAGATTCGTACATTTTAAAATTTCAATTATTTAAACCTGTGGATACATTTGCGCTTTCAGTTGAAAAAGGTATTGGCACTTCTTGAATTAATAACCAAGGTCTGATAACTCCCAGAACAAGTAATTTTTACTTTTTCTTATGCCAATCTGGGACAAGTTATCCCTCCAAAAGGTCTAAGGCCCCACTGTTGTAATCCTGACCTATATAAATCCTATAAATAGGACTAGTTTTGCCATGCTCACATTTAACCTTCTGACTATATTTATTTGAAAATTTGTCTATGCCATTTTATGAGATGTTTTCCTGTAAAAAAACTATAATTAATAATACTTCACACATTTATTTATTTTTAAGAAGTGTGAACCCATCTGCATTCATGTTGGGAATTGTGGCTCATTTACTTGTATTTATATTTTATTTAAGTAACTGTATAAGTTAATTGGTTTGAATTATACTATTAAGAAATCAGTCAGGAAGACTGTGTACCTGTGTTCTAAATACTAGAGATAACCTCATCTAACTCCATCCTAGAGAAAGCTGTCTCAAAAGTTTTCTTCACAGACTATGTATGATTCAGCCCTAAAAAGGAATGATCTTCTGATACATGCCACAATGTGGATAAACCTTGAACACATACACTGTGCGAAGGTCCATACACAAAAGGACAGTATCATATGAGTCTGCTGGCATGAGACACCTAGTGCAGGCAGACTTGTTGAGGTGGAGAGTGGGATACTAGTTAACAAGGGACTGAGGGGGAGGGGCGAATGGAGATTCTGTTAATGGGTACAGAGTTTCAGCTTGGGATGATGGGATAAGTTCTGGAAATGCTTAGTGGTGATGGTTGCACAACAGTGTGAACATACTACTACTGGGTTTTTATACTTAAGAATGGTTAAAAGAGTAAATTTAATGTTTTGTATGTATATTTTACCACAATAAAAAAACTGTTTTCTTCATGGATTTGACACACTTGTGTAATTCATATTCCAGTTTGACTCCTGAAGAATGACTACTCACAATTGTTCATGTGCTTTGGATAGTGGTATTCTATTCACCTAAAACTGGTTTAAAGAATTTTTTTTCTGTAAGAATTCTCTAAATTGAGGAACTGAAGAAAATTTGAAAACTATCCTGTAAGAACTTTAGTGAAAAGTGAAAGCAGATTTGTCAAGAGTCCCACCGCTTTACCTGAGGCTCACCCAGCCTGGTTTCTGCCAGCCTGGGCCAACCAGCACCTCAGGTTTTGGCTTGGATTCAGCATGATCCCATCCATATAAAAATGTACCAAAGATATAGGAAATTGGTGCAGGCAATTACCATTCTGCCCTGGGCTAACAGAGTGCTGGCTTTCTATTTGAACGCATGCCCCTGCCAACACTGAGATATTTCTGAGCTCCTTCTAATGAGATCTGAACTCAAGTTTAGTCTCCATAAGCCGCACCTCCTGGGCTTTACCCAGCTTGCCTTTCACTGTTGCTATCTTAGCAGACCTGACTCCTGATTTAGCCTTCCCACATTCCATCTGTCACCAGTTCTGCAGTTCCTTCCTCCACATCTCTCTCTTCATCCCCTCGGATCCTGATTCAAGCCCTGGCAAACCTGTCCTAGGCCTTATTACATGGCTTTTAAGAGAGCATGTCTTTGAAGAGTGAATAAAGCATGTTTCTATGTGAGGCAGACCCAAAATGTTAATTAGCCAAATCAACACACTCTCATCCTTGCTTAAAAAGGAAAAGTAATATTTATGAAATACCTACTATGTGCCAAGTAATGTGCCAGTTATTTTCAGAACTCCTAACAAGCCTATGAGAGCCAGCATTACAATTATTTTTAAATAATTGTAATATAGAAGCTACTTCACCAGAGCTGTGCCTACTCTTCAGGAAGCACACTAGATCCTAGTGGCAAATATAGAGCTCTGTCTGATGCAGATGCCAACTCGGCTCACTTTAAATCAGTCTCCAAAGTTCCTCAGTCCTGGACACTTCTGTTCAGCCACCCAAGTCTAACCTTCAGTAGTGAAGTCCTCCTCTACTCTCGCCTGCATGCACATCCATGAGTCTGCACCTTTCCTGAGTGCAGAGCACAGGGAAACACCTGGGTTGGTCTCCTTCGACCAAAAACTGGTTTCCCTGCCTGCCAGCCATGTTTCTAGTTTACCTAAATCCCATTCCTTCCAGATTACAGCCTAATCACCTGCTCTTTGGAATTAAAATTTGCACTAAAACTCATTTTTCACTGAATTGTCTGATATTACCCATTGATAACCCTAGGATACCCTCAGGTCCTTTAAAATATGCAGTTTGAGGGAAAAAAAAATCTATGCTTTTATTAATTTTTTTCCTTAAACCTATACAATGCTTTTTTCATAGATAAGAACAGAGCTTTCCAGTTTCTCACAGTGGTGATGGGCAAGGGGCAGGCTATTAACATTACTGAGCGCCAGGCACTGAGAGGCACTGCCATAGTTACCCCTCCACTCTCACAACCACCTTGGCAGATGAGGAGTCCTATCTCCACTTTACAGATGGTAAAATAGACTAAACACCTATTCATGGTTGTACAGCTGGTCAGATCCCAGTAGGAACCCTTGTCCAATTCCCAGGGTCACTTTAAGCCAGAGCATTATGTCTACTCAGGAAGGTCCTTTAAGATGCAGATGCCAAGACAAGATTAGATGTGCAAGCCATTTATTGGGAGGTTAAATAGGAAGGGAGCTGGACCAGGCAGGGAAAGCTTTCAGACTAGACTGTGAAAGGAGACAGGGAAGAAGTTTTGGGTAGGAAGATCCTCAGACCACAGGTTGTTCTGAGACAACCTCTGCTAAGTGGGTGGGGTGTCCCTAAGCAAAGAGGCAGCAGCTGGAGTTGGTAACACCACCCTGTAGCAGACCCTTGAAGGAAAGCTGAAGAGTTTTGCTCCATGGCTCCATGGGTGGATGCCACAGGGGACAGATGTTTTAATCATCAGTGCAAACCAGGGTGGCAACAGCCATTCCAGCATGCCCCTTAGAGGGATGGATGTGACCCGTGACTTCCAGGCTTCTGAATTTCATGGCCCAGAAAAACCAGGAGACCAACTAACCTCACAAAGGTTTCCTTTAATTTTTCCAAATAAGCACATGAATTCAACATAAGATACTTTAATAGGAAGTATTAAAACAGGAAGCACATAATCTCAGAGTGAAGCCCTCTAAATTGAATAATTTAGAATAGTGAAAAAAATGTTGTTCTTGTTAGTCTTATTTTGCTGCAGTTTAGGTAAAAACATGCTCACAGATGGGGCACTAGTCCATGGATTGGGTCTCAAAACACTGTTAGAGAATATGTAAGTACAGGATGGGGCATTGGACCTGGTACCTTCCAACCTGAAACTCATTCAGTTCACCAGTATTCACTGTGCACTTCTGGGTGGTAGGGCCCATGAAAATCCTTGAGGGTATTAGGGATGAGTAAGGCAGACCCAGTCTTGGCTCTGGTGGAGCTTAAAATCTGATGAGGGGAGAGAGATAATAAAGAGGTAAACAAATGAGTAAACAATACATTTCCATCTATGGTAAGTGCTATCATAAGGAAAGGGCCATGGCTTTAGATAGTGTGGTCTAAAAAGGCCTCTCTAAGCAGGTGACATTTGAGCTAAGACCTGAGGGAGGAGTCAGCCTTTTAAGTGCTGGATGAGGAGCCAGAAATACATAATTCTCCAGGAATAGTAAGTGTAAAGGCCTTGAGAATGGAATGAGCTTGGTGCATTTGAGGAACTGAACACAGGCCAGGGGGCTGCAGCAGGCTAGTGAGGTAGGAGGGGCAGCAGGTGAGGTCAGGCTGGGCATGTTTGCAGTGTGTCTGGTTGGAAGTCCACTGTACCACTACAATAACCTTATTTCAGTGATGGCTATTCCCCTCTGTCTAAATATGCTGTAGAAGCTCACAGAAAATTAGAGCACACAGTTGCTTGGAAAGAGACACCTGGATACTTCTCCAGAAACATCCAAAGGGACATATTTACCTTAGCAAATTCACCAGGTCTTATCTTTTTGCAAGCTACAAAGAAAAAAAAGAAAAGGAAAAATTGGTCCACCTTTCAGGGGTTGACATATATTCAGCAAGCTCGTGCAATTTTTGCATATATCCAGCATAAAAGGGTACAATTTACAGTGAGAACCCTAATGTTTAAGGGTACCAAAATCCTGCACACTCCTGCCCGCACATTTCCATCTGCAGGTTCTCCATGTGGGAAGACATCTTCTAATCCAATTCTCAGGACTGCAATGGGAGGTGGGGGGGACTAGGATGCTGAGAGATATTTCTGAATGCCACCAGTAGAGAAAGGTGTGGTCTTTGATCAGAAGGGGTTTGCATGACCTTCCTCTTACTACTTCTGTGGCAGACCCCAGTGCTTCAACAGGCTATTTGTGTCATGGATTTACCTACTTGTGCTTTGATGGTCCCCCAACTCATCTGATGGCAAGAATCACCAGAGGCTCTTGGAAAAAATACAGACTCACATATACTTCCAGGCCCAATCCCAGAAGACTCCATTTAGAAGGTTTTGGTGAGCCCTGCAAATATGATGGCTTCTACCAGCAGCCCAGAGGATTATTATCAAGTGTGTTTAGGAAACTGTACATTGAGGCTTTTCAGAGTTTTCTAACTCAGTATTAGAAAATAACCTAGAGCATTTTCTAAATATATAGATTTCTGAGCCCTAGCCCATGTGAAACAGAATTACAAGGCAAGTGGGAATCTGCATGTTTGCTAAATACTCCAGGTACATCTTATGACAGGGTAACTGAGACCTAAGTGGGACCTTTAAGGTTCTGATTTACCACATCTACAGAGGAACTCAGGGATCTGCATTTTAAAATAAGCCCCCAGCTGATTCTGATGCTCCAGGCTCATGGACCCCACCTTGAGAAGCACTGCATTGAAGTTTGATGTTTTACAATTCACACCTTAGTGCTTAATGCAAAAGCATTTACAAACATTTACTGTGAACTTGCACACCTCACTTTTGCAACCACTATTTACAGACCCCATCTCTGTGTCCTAAAACTTTTCTACTTAATGTTGTTTTTTAACTTTTTACTAAGAAAAATTCCAAACATACAGAGAATTTGAAAGGATAGTTCAATGCACACCCATTATACTCATCACCTGATACAACGCTTGCTACATTTGATTTATCTATGTATCTGTGCATGTGGTTTTTGCTGAACAGTTTCAAAGTAAGCTGCAGATATCTACCCAAACACTCCAGCATGAATATCTTTAAAAAACAACAAAGTATTCTTCTTCATAACCACAATACTATGATTACATCTAATGAAGCTAGTAATAATTGCCTAATACCAGCTAATTTCAACCTATTTTCAAAATTTCCCCATTTGTCCCCCAAACATCTTTTATAGTTATTTTTTCAAACCTGGATGCAATCAAGGATAACATGTTGCATATGGCTGTGCGCCTTTTGTCTCCTTTAATCTAGAATAGTCCTTTCACCATTTTTTCCAGTTGTCTTGGAGAATGTCTCTCTGGATTTCTGCTTGTTTCCTCATGGGGTTTGGTGATTTAGTCACCCATTCCTCTACAGATAAGTATTCTGGTGTTTTTCTATTACAAACAATGTTGAAATGAACATTCCTGAGTTTATTTATACTTATACTTCAGTATACTTTAATAGTAATGATGCTTTTACTTCAGTCAGATAGATTCCTAAAAATGGGATTACCAACTTAAAGGAAAAGCCTAATTTAGTAGATACTGTTAGATCTCTTTCTGCTAGTATACTGCCACTAGTGAAGTCTGGGAAGGCCTCCTTTCTTCTTGTTTTATCTTATTTCTGCTAGAAGAATTTTGGACTGACTATGCATACATGGAGGTCTCAGGATGCTTTACTGATACAACATCCATGCATCCTGGCTGCCCTTGGATCTCTCAGTGTTTAAAATTTTGTGCATCTCTGTTGAAACTATTCATCTAATGACCACCAACTCAAAAGGTACCAAATGCATAGTGTCTTTCTGAATTTTCTGGCAAAATTTCTACCTTCTCCTGTCTCTCTCAACAAACACTGTGTATGGCTTCCCCCTACACTTTTAAGTGAAGCATGTGTGTGTGTGTATGTCTGTGTTTGTGCCACAAGTATACTTTGTACTCTCTCCTAGAAGTTAAAGACATCGTGCCTCCTCTTCTACATTAGTATCCTCTATTTACCTAGCACAGTGATTTACACTCAATAGATATTTCTTGTTGAGTGAGTTGGTATGGGAGACAAGTCCAGAACAGCAGACAGTGACCAAATGCTGGAGTTTTTGTATTTCAGGCCAAACAGCTTGGAATATATTCAGTGTCAATTCAGAAATCCCAGAAAAGTCTGAGCTGTGGAGTCGAGACACTACAGCTGAGGTAGGAGATGCAGAAATGAGGTCAGAACAAGACCCAGGTAGGAAGAGAGACTCATGAGCAATTCTTGGGAGCTGAAGACCTAAGTTTTACAGTGTGGTTTCTTAAGGATATTTTCTAAATTTAATTTTAGCCCGTTGTTCTGAGCTCATGCAATATTTTGTTTTGTCTTAACTTTTTTACTTATGGTAAAGAAATCAGTGAAACAAGGTAATAATCCTCACTAATTTCCCCCATATAGGGAATGTCACTAGTAGTCACCATTTGGGTGTAAATCATTTCACAGCTTTCCTATGCATATATAATAAAGTCTACATTTTAATACATAATGGATATATGAAATTGTATTAAACATTTCTTTCATTATATTTAATGTAAATATATATTACATTTTCCTTATAAATTAAATATACCACGGTATCCCCCATTTTTTGAAAGTATTACACCACTTCTCTTTTACGAAAGACCTACATTAGTATCTGATTTCGCTAATGAAAGAAATCTGAAGAGGATTTTTGCTTTTACAAAAAAAGGCAAAAAGTGAAAATAGCGTCTGTTTTGCTGCAAACCGTTATACAGGCAGTACATACCCTCCCTGAGCAGCAAGAGTAGCGCTGCGAAGCTCCTTCCCTGGGAACTACACTCAGCGTCAAGTGGTAGCTATGAACTGTTGAGCATCTGTGCTGTATCTTGATTTGTTCTGTGCATCCGTTAGCAAGATGTGTCCTAAGGTATCAGAAAAGCCTGAGAGATTACTTTTTGATTTTTGGAATGTCCAAAAAATTTTGCATGTAAATTAATGGTAATTGCTTCTTTATTTTACACCATTTTGGCTTAAGAAAGATTTCATAGGCATGCTCTGTGTATGTAAGTCCACGTACATAGGGAAATCTGTGTACTTATATATTAAATATAAATTATACACACGTGGGCTTTTATATTAGATAGAAAACACCATTGATCTTCAACATTTTATCTTGAGGACCTAACACAGAATAAATGCTTAATATATATTTACTGAATGATTGAAAGAATGGTAATTACCCACTGTCATTTACCTTTGTATGGAGCTTTTAGTAGTTTTAATACTTTTGCTAATTCATATAGCAAGTAAGTAAAGATTAGCTGCTCTACTGTCTCAAAATCCAATGCATTTGTTTTTCTTGTTTTATCTTACTGCTGAGAGAAGAAATAGGAATTTAAAATATACAGACAAGAGGTCCTTGATATGCCTTATTAATACAAACAATAGACATCTTCTTAAGCAGTGATTTATAAACACAGCATGGATTTATATGGAATTACTCATTTTTGAAACATTTGAGTTATATGACCAAAACTGTGCAAACATCAATTTCTTTCCTTCCCAGGTTTTAGGGAGGAGGAAAGCAAAATGATGTTGAGAATGTTAATTTGATAACCTGACCCATCTTGTGAATACAGAGAATCTTTAAGTTGGTACACCACTGTGAACTCAGTACTTGTACCTGGTGGAGTCACTGCCTAGTCCAGTGCCTGGCACAAAGTAGGTTAACAATAGGTATTTTTCAAATGAATAAATAGGAATAGTGAACACAGACCTAATAAAAAAGTAATCTCCTTTATCCCATATTTTTATTCCTTTCTAAGTGATGTGGATACGTAGTACTTGTTAGCCACTTCTTAATTATCGATAAAAACTGGGTGCAGGTTCACATAGGAAAAATCTACATTTAATACAAAAAATATATATTTAGCTCATAGTATTCCTTTCCTTCCTTCAGAGTCCTGACTGCATTCTCTGAGAAACAGTGAAGCAACATCCCTGGGTTTTATCTACGCTCCCTTTCCTATCAGGGAGAAGATCAGGAGGCAAGGGAAATCACTAGTACTGGAAACCCACAAAAAACAAGAAGGACTGGTAACTCCTACCATGTTCATCTTTGTTTTCTCAAAAATAGCTAAAAAAAAAATCTTTTCCTAGGTCAGAGGCTGCGGTAAGTACTACACTTGTCCAGTAGGTGGCAGTAGTTTCTTTCTTCAGCATAAACAATTCTTTAAGATTTGTCTCAAGGTTTTTTGTTTTGTTTTGTTTTTGCTTTAAGTTTTAGTATTCGCTTAGTAAGCTCCAGATGAGAGAAAATAAGCTAATGAAACTGATATTTCAAATTACACCGTCTTGAAACAAAATCACTCTAGGGGGCTTCCAAAAGCCTCAGTGGGGAACTTGCTTTGGCTGCCATTGATAGCAAGGCATGTTCCGGGTAGATGGTGCTCTAACCCTCCTCCCCATCTCCTGGTAGAAGATATTTCTAACGACTGTTCGTAATAATATCTTGGAGAAAATGATATGTCAGACTTTTCTCCCTCCATAATATAAAACCAAAACAAAAATAAAACATTGACACCAGCATTCTTGTTTTTAGGGTAAATAGTCATTAAATTACATAGACATCTTCCCCAGTTGGTTAATAGTGAGCTTTAGAAAATTCTTCATACATCCTCAGTTCCACAAGACCTTTCAATACCCAACAGAATGCTAGGGGCTGTCACGGGTCTGACGCGAACTAACCCGTACAGAAACTAGGTTTGGTAAAGGAAGGATTGAAATTCCAGGGACTTATGCTGGGGTTGAAAGATGTAATGTTTGTTAATTAGTGGAATAACAACTCAGATATTTCCCCTTTAAAAATACTATATTAGCTGGAGTAGGGAAGGCTGGGTCTGAAGCAGACAGTGATTTCTCAAAAATACCCTTTTATAAACAAAGCCTCAAGTTGCTGGGAAAATGTTTAGGGCTCAGTGTTTTCACTGAAAACACGGAGATACTTGGTTATTAAGTCCACCTGTGAATATTAAACTACCATTAGAAGGTACAACGATTTTTAGATCTTAGGGTATTTTAAAATTAATCCCGTACTTCCGAGACTATCCGGGGACAATTCCCCAGCCCATCAATGCTGCTCAACCTGGGCGCCGCACCCTCCAATCGTCTTCCGCGCAGCGAGGACCTCGGATGCCCCCGTCCGGGTCCAGGTGCCCTGCCGAGCCTGGCGACTCAGACGCGCCGACAGGTGGCTTCGCCTGCCTCCCAGGGCAGCGCTTGCCTCTCTTCCCGGCCGGCAGTGCAGCCCGCGTGCCAGGCAGAGCTCCCAGGCTGGCCCCAGAAGTCGGGTGGCCCACCGGGAGAGTGAGGCCCGAGAGGGGCTCAGGACCCGACGCGAGGCCGCCGACGGACGCAAAGGTGTTCTAAGGGCCCACCCGGGCGAGGGGTGATTGGGCCACGCGCTTCTGGCTTTCCTCTGACCAGGGCCGCGCGGAGCTCGGAGCCTAGGCTCCGTGGACCGTCCCTTGGTCTCCTCCGCCCTCCGCGTCCGCGTCCGCGACCCGGGAACCCCCACTCCCCCTGCGGCAGTGAGCACAAGTCTCTGCCGCCTGCTACTCTGCCGGGGCTCCAGCAGGGCCCAGGGGTCACCCGAATCTGCGAACCACATTCCCAAGGACGAGCAGCCGGTGGCAGCACCGTCCCCGCTCAAGGGCCCTCCGGGGCCCCTCCGGCCTGAGCCCCCGCGGCTGGAGCACCGCAGCCCCTCCGAGGGCGCAGACGGCGGCGGGAGGAATTCACTGAACCCCTCCTCTTCCCCAAACTTCGCGTCCCGCCGATCCTCCAGCCCGAGCCCTCTGCGCCACCGGCTCCTCCCTCTCAGCGCTCCTCCCCGTTTCTGGTTCCCACTTAGGAATCCGCCCGCCCCGCCCCACTCCCGGTCGCCGGCGGGCCGGGGATCCTCCCGCCCCCCGCGTGCCGCCGCCGCCGCCCGGGTTCCTCTCCCCCCGCCTGGGCGCTCCCTGCCAAGCCCATGATGTAATGGTGTATGTTAATCAGTAGCATGTGGGGAGCTCGACTCGGGCGGCTCAGTCCTCCGCGAGCCGACTCCGGAGGCAGCCGCAGCGCCGCACTTCCAGCGCCGCTGCCCCGACGGCATGGCCCGCGGCCCGCGCTCCGGGCGCCCCCAACCTCGCTAGGAGCCGCTGCGGCCCCGGACCCGCGCGCTGGGCCCCGAGCCGCCGGGATGAGTCGCGCCGAGGTGAGCGCCCCGGCAGGGACCGTCAGCCCCTGGGTCCCCTTCCCGGAGGATTCCGCCACCCCCCCCGTCTCCCCCGCTCTACTAGTTCTGGGAGCCGGGAAGCGGGATGCTGGGAGCCAGCCGCCCCTCGAAGGCTGAGCCGCCGGGCTCTTTTCTCCGCCTCCAGCGGCCAGCCGGAGAGGGGCAGCCCCTGAAGCCGAACTTTTTTCTTTGCGGTCGCTGGGGGCGTGTGCCGGCTGCGCGGAGCCGCAGTCCCGGCGGAGCCGCCCTGCCCGCGGGGGTAGGCAGAGCTGCGGGCTCGGGCTGTCTCCGCGCCGCCCTCGGCCTGGGACGCCGGGCGAGGCGCCGGGCAGAGCGGACTCGCCCGTAGGCGGCAGCAACGGGGGCAGGATGCCTGCAGCACACGCGCGCGTACACGGACACACACACACACACGCCTGCAGCACACGCGCGCGTACACGGACACACACACACACACAGCCGCACACGCACGCACACATCTGGTCCCTCAGGGCGAGGCAGGCCCTCGGTGACCTCCGGGTGGGCTAGAGCTGCGCGCGCGGCGGCGGGGAGCCGGCTCCGGCCGCGCCTCCGCCCGCTGGGCGCGGAGCTTTGGGTGGGGAGAGTTTATTTTTGTCTCGAGCTGCTGCCGCGGCTGCTCACGGCCTAAATCCAGAGGGGCGCCTGGCGGTGGAGATGCTGGCTGTTGCTGTAGATGGAGCTGCAGCCGCTCGGCTGCCTCTCCGGGAGGAGGAGGGAGAGGAGGGAGAGGAGGAAGGAACCCGGGCTGCTGCTGTCTCCGCCTCTGCTTCGCAGTAGCCCCCACCCCCACCCCCGCGCCCCCTCGCAGCCGCATTGCAAGTTCTCTGCGCGAGGAAGATCTGTGGCTGGTGCCGGCGTTCGCGGGCTCAGCCCCCGCGGCCACCCCTGGTGGGGTGTGTGGGGAGCACAGCCGTTCTCAGCGGCAGCAACAGGGAGCCTTTAGGGTCTCTTCCCGCACCTGGGAAGGAGGCTTCTTGCCATTCCCAGAACAGGAATCGCTCATCTCCCACAGCCGGGTGCGGAGGGGCGGCCGGAATCTGGGGGACCAAAGCCCCCGGGACGCAGCCCCCCGTCCCTCTGATGCTCTGGTTTCCTGGGCGCGCTCCGTCGCCGGCCGAGGTCTTACTGCAGCCCTTTCTCTCCTTCCAGTGGTGATCGCCGCTCGGGAATGCGGGTGTGAAGGGTCCGAGCTGCTGCCCAGCAGGGAAGAGACCCCGGGACGCCGGAAATCACCATCTCAAAGCTGCGAGAAGGGGGTGAAAGAGAACATTCTTCATTCAGTTTTTGTGCCTTGTGGGGAATTTTTTTTAAACGTTATTATTGTTTTTTTAAAAAGAAACATTTCCTTGCTACTGCCTGTCATCATTTCTGGGGGAATCAGCCAGAACCATCGGCACGTAACAAACCAGACCAGAGAGGCAGGATCCGAGGCAGTACCTGCAGCGTCCGGGCACCAGAGCCACCTTGGAACGGGAACGCATCTCCGGCGGCCGCGGGGCTGCGGCTCCGACAAACTTTGGGGCGAGCGGGGAGGGCTGGGCGCAGAAAGGGCTTTGTAGACCGAGGGCCGCCCCCTAACCATGATGTTTCGCGACCAGGTCGGGGTGCTGGCGGGCTGGTTTAAGGGCTGGAACGAGTGCGAGCAGACTGTTGCGCTGCTGTCTCTGCTCAAGCGCGTGAGCCAGACCCAGGCCCGCTTCCTCCAGCTCTGCCTGGACCACTCACTGGCCGACTGCGCCGAGCTGCATGTCCTCGAAGGCGAGGCCAACAGCCCCGGTAAGTGCGCGAACGCCGCCGTCCCGCGCGTCCCCCGCTCCCGCCCGCTCCCAGCCTCGGGCCCGGGCCCCGCCCCCGGCCGCCGCTGGGCTGGTGCGCCGACGGCGCGGCCCCGCGGCCCCTGGCCGCTCCAACCCCTGTCCCCTCCCCGCTCCCGGTCGCTGCCACCCACGTACCTTCGCCGGCCGCTTTGGCTTTTGCCCACTGCCAACTCCTTCAGTCCATTCTGTGTGGTAGCCACGGTAGCATGAATGATTGATTTTTCTCTCATGCAGTTCCTGGGAAATAAGTAAGTCAGGTCACGTAGAGTCTGGATTTTCTGGGCTTTTTTTCTCTTATTCGTGTGGGCAACGTGGCCCTCTGGATTTAAGCAACACATGAAGAAGCCCGGCACTGCCTTTCAGAAGCCAAGCTTTGATTAGGCTGTATGAGGAATACATGAATTTCACTGTTCGTTTCTCTCCACGGATATTACAGTTTTAGAGCTTCGTCTTCAGAATAATATGTAGGTGACGCTACAGACTATTAAAATGGTATTTGCAGTTCTTACATACTACGTGGTTATACTTACCTATCACTTCGTTATTCGTATTGATGTGGATCATGTGTACAGGGTCTCAGAGATCAAGCATGAATCAGGGTCCTTAATGCTTCGTGTTAGGAAACTTTAATGAATGTAGAATTGTTTCAAATTACCCTGCTAGTATTTACAGAAAGTGAACATATTGGAGAGGTTCAGCAGTTTGCTGTTTGCCAGCATGGGTGGTGACAGACTGAAATTATATCCTGGGATGGGGGTGGGGTGGGGGGATGGGGGATGGGGGAAAGGTCTGTTGATTTCAATTTTGGATAGGGGAAATTCTTTAGTTCGAGCTGCAGCAGGAGGGTGAACAGAGCCCCCAGTGTTTACGCAGAGAAAAGAATGCAGGGTCCTCTTCCAGCTGTTTGTTCCATGTTAGAGCCAACAGCCTGCAAGACTCAGAAGAGGTCTGGGACGCCATTTGATGACCAGGTCCAGTCCGGGGCGGCAAGGCCTGGGAGACACTGAGATGAGTGTGCTGTCAGGGCAGCAGGAGGAGAGCTGGCCGCCTCCGCATTCCTCCTCCCAGATGTGGTTCTCGTGATGCTGGGAACACCAGGATGGGATGATGCCGTAGATAGAATCACAGGCTGGAAGTGACTGCTGGAGACGCTCTCAGTCCTTTTCCAGATCGGACAGGACTGTGTGCAGAGGATCCTGGGCTGCCAGGTATGGAGGGTCGTACTGAGGGTGACCCCGCGGGCCCCACTGGGCTTTGGCCCAAACCTGACAACCTACCTGGTTACTCACAAGGGTGGCAACGGCCCCTACCTGATCCACATTCACAAATAGCTGGAGGGCCGGTCTCCTGCTTAAGGGTGTGGAAGCTTAACTAGGAATAACTGATTATCCACTTTTAAAAATTCCATCCTTAAGGTGACAGGGTAGCCCAGTTCGCTGCTTGATTTTGCTTTCTCAGATTTGACAAACAAGGTTATGTAAATTTGAGCATTTTATAGAATGCAGAGGATGTAAGTACAGTAATTTATGTTGTATGCTTGACTTCAGTGCTTCTGAGGATTGTTTAAAATAATAATTAATTTATTCAAGTGTTAGAGCAACATATTTTCCCTTTGAGCAAAGGAGAAGATTTCTCCCAATATAGCAGCAGTTTAGTGAGTGAAGAAATTAAATGTGTGATATAAAAAGAAGTTGCTTAATTTAAAGATCATGTAATTTGATAAACCAAGAAAAAAAATCGAACTTCTGTAAGTTTTTAAAAGTCATGTAACTTTTTTCCCTCAAAAAAATTATTTTGCTATACACAGTTGTGTAAACCTACCCTGTTTATGATGCTAAATGCTGTAGATAAACAAAAATCTAGTACCATGAGATAAGATAGGGACCATTTTCTAGTTTCCAGATTAAACTTTCAACCTCGACGTTTTGCTTCCTTGGAAACTGTTTTACTTGTTTGGTAGTGTGGCCAGGACAGAAATTCATTAGTGAGGTCATGTGATGATTTGGTTTACTTTTCAGTAAGGGGCTCACAAAGACCATCAGGATTTGTCATAAGGATTTGTCATACCTGTGTGTCTGGAGTGTGGCTCTCTTATGTATCTGGAATCTGGCCAAGGACCAGGAAAGGGGGAAAAAGGCCCCCTCAGCAACAGAATAGATGGCATGAAGTCTGAGGGAATACTTCAGACCCTCTCTTAAACATACTTACTCTTATTTTAGATAACAATCCTAAGAGTTTTTAAGTCTGAAAAATAATTCATAGCACATTAGGGACAGTATGTGTAGAAATGGGGTGAGGGGCTGCTGTAACCTGCAGTGAAAAGTGACCCCCGACAGCCTAACAACCAGGAAGCAGACAGGATTTAGACACAAGAATTGGGAGCAAAAGCCCTGGAGGTGTGGGAATATTAGGGTAGGAACTCTCAATCCACCATGCAGGCATTACTCTATAAATGGCATAAATCCATAATTGCTATTTACCATTAATGAGAGTGAACTATCCAAAAGTATACATTTTAAAATACACTCTTTCAGAATAGAGGGAAATATGCCATAAGCTTTGGAAATATTGACATTCAAGAATTAACCTCTAAAGCTGTTTTGGTGTAAAGCTCTTACCCATTCAGAAAACTAGACTGTGTAGAATGACTCATTCATTGGCTAGCTGAGGTTTTCTATAGCAAAATCATCATGTATCACTTTATCTAGTAATAGTCAATTAAACAAATGTACATATTTTTTCTAGTGTTGAG